AAACGTTAAAGAGTAACTATACGCTCGACAATATATACGTAAATTAGACTAGGCAAAGTATCTTATTTACCAGAGAAACTTCTCATTCTTTTAAGACGCAACKWCGTCCGATCAYATGCACGTAAATAGGAAATGRAATAKTAGCTTATTTATTAGAAACCTTAAAAAGAARGTTCCGGCAGAACGTTCCGCATTCTTTTAARACGCAACCGTGAGATTCAGTGGGAGGAGTGGGCCGACGTATCACGTTTCACACGTATCACGTAAAGCAAAACCAGTATTTGGAGATTGGACAACTACTAGCCAAGACYAAAGTGCGTCAATACTCGCTAGGGTGCTTAAGGTTGAATGGTATAAACACTTGGTTATAGTAAGTTCTTTCGACAGAATTTTGTTTTGTTACTGAGGGCGAAAGCAAAGCCAAGGCGAATCGGTAAGAAAAGGGCTAGATTWGATCTAATATTTATCTATTTTTGATTTTTCATGCTTATAAAATCGACGATTTTGCGCTTTTTGCGCGGTATTTTTGTTTAATTTTTACATGCTTTTCTCTCTTTTTCTTGTTTCTTTTTGTCCGTTCTGTCTTAATTTTAATTCCATTTTCTCTAGATGAAGAGCGCATTAGTTYTGATCATAAACAGCAATAATTTGTGCGTTATCACGCATTTTGTTTTTATAATTTCCCTGGCTTGTTTTCTTGATTCTTTTTGGGCGTTTTTTGTTTATATCAAGATCAGGAAACCATTACATATACAACAAAAATAATCTTCACTTCAGCCCACATTTATATTCAATCTTTCTTTCTATTTGCWTTATTAAATCAATCGATCAATCAATGTTTCTGATGTTCCGTTCACTTTATTGCTTCCGAGACGTTTTTTTATGAAATTTTATTAAACTAGATCGACGAGTCCTATTTCASTGGCTATAAAACATATTTACTCTACTCATTCAAGTGATCAATCACGTCTTATGAGCTGTTATTTCTTATTTCTCTCGGCTTTTATCGTCTCATTTTATATTATCTCCTCGCGTTGTATTTTGCTTTTCTGTTATTGTACGTCGGTTTAAAGGAGGTGGTCGGGATAAAGAGGTGGTCGGGATAYAGAGGGTTACAGAACACTTGATAGGTATATGGGTAACATGTGGCGTCTGCCAAAGTGATATATATCGCATTGATTTACGTAAGGCAGGGGATTTCGACCAGTATCTATATAGAGACAGCTAGTGGATCCAC